TCGTTGGGGTCGGAAGTCGGAATCGTCGCAATATACCCGGGCGTTGGTTGTGTTCTCAACCTTTGTAGTTGGCACTGCAGGAAACCCAAACAAGTGTTTGACCATGGTGTTGTTTTCAAGCGTACAGCAGGGCGCATGGAAAGTGGATGACACTGGATGATGGGTCTGCAAGATCCTGCAAGTCAGACCCATCTGCTTTGGGCCCCCGCTTTCCTTTCAGCGTTCAAGTCAGCCAGCAGAGGTACACTGCCGAAGACCTGTCGATGTCCGGCATTTGGCTGTCGACGATGGTCGACTGTCGACCTCCAGATGAGCACACCCTGAACACACCACACCCTTCCACACCCCGATAGGGTGATCGTTCGCTGCATCTCGCTGCTGAAGGGTTCGGTCTGGCCGCGTTATTTTTTTGCGACCTTCCAACTATATAAGGTTCCAGTGAACAGTTTCCCATCGCAACTGCGCCAAAGCCTTTAAAGGGGTTCCCCATCGGCAACAAGCAAACAATACTGAACCAGCGAGGGCTGAGTGTGGACACATGTGCCTTTGAAGGTCTTGAAGTACCAAGGGTGTCAAGGGCTGTTCAAAAGCTCTGGCTGCACACAAACCACAAAACGACAGGTGCACTTGCCACTCTGTTGAAGGATGTTTTCAACCTAACTGCCACGACAAGTCCCGGGCCCACGAGAGGCTCCAAGGCCTGTGTTCTGGCGATGAGCTTCATGTGCTCTAAATCCTGTCCGTCGGAAGAGCCATTTGTTCGGACAGAATGCAACTTACACAACAGTCCCTGTACAACCGTGGGACATGTATGAGCAAAAACGGACATGGGAAAATCACTCATGGAGGAATCTATCAAAAGTCTTAGAACCCTCACCACTGGGTTGGATAATGTTGGAGACCCATGAAGAATTGAAGATCTCGGTATGTGGGAGATGCGTCACCAGCCCGGTTTGGAAAAGCGGATCCAACACGGTCCGCTGCTGGGTTTTCTATGGTTTTCTCCACGCGGTCCGGTCCGGACTGCCCGGAGTGGGGTCTTGACCCAGTTCCCTTGGTTCCTAGTAGCGTCGCTTCTCGCTCCCTTCGTAGCGATGCCCTTTGCTCCGTTCGTAGCGTCCTTGTTCCTTGGTAGTAAGGCGAGCCCACAGTAGTGTCCTTGCTTCTAGGAGCGATGCCAGGAGCCCCTAGTAGTGTCCTATTCCGTATCACGTCATGCGAAGTGAAACCCCTATGCCCGGTGGCCTCCGTGCTCAGCTGCGACGTGATGTCGGCGCGGCTGAGCGCCAGGGCAATGACCGCCGTCTGTGTGCGCACCTGGCAGCAGGACTCCCGAGATTGCCTCCAAAATTGAAGCTTGGCCCAAGTCGCAGGAAGTTCCCTGGATCTAGATCTGATGTGGCCGCTGTTTGATGTGGCCAACCAACCAATGAACCAGAAAAAATATAGACACAGCCATCAACTAAACTGCCATGCTTCTACCAAGCAAAGCCAGGGAAAAGCAGGCTTGGTGTGAAGAAACTCCTTTGATGCCATGCGCATCTCCGGGCAATCCACTCCCTTCAAAGTCTTGTTTGGCACTGCCCTGTCAAATGTCATGCTTGGCTGTTTTTGTCAACAAGCACGTGTAGTACAAATCTCCGAAAGCAAAAAGCCACTCCGAAGGCAAAAAGCAAAAAAGCACGTGTATATACTGTATATATATATATATAGTAGTTAGATGTAGTTAGTTTTAAATCAAATAGTTGCCCCATGTTGCCCCTTTATAGTCATCTTCAGATCCACATGTATGAAGCGGGAACAGCAAGGGGATGTTTGTCAATGCTTGGGAGAATTACTTTGCCTTGAATGCTACCCAGGTGATATTCCCGCCACCAAATATCAAACTGAACATGTTGTCTTTCTCCTTGCCCATCTTCTTCACTCAAAACTGCACCTCAGCAGCTCGAAAGCAGAAGCCCGAGACTCGACTCGTTTCACGGCCAAGGCACGGTCGCCGTACGAGGCATATCATAGAGCACCGCGATCTCGCCAAAGAAGGAACCCTGCGAGCAGAGGACGCTACGAACGGAACAAAGGGCATCCGGACGCTACTAGGAGCTTTTGGACGAAACTTCCACGAGGCGCCAGGCGCTTTTTCGCCCCCTTGCAACTAGCCACTGAATCAACAAGACCAACCACCAAACAAAGCACCACAACAAAGAATCTCCAAAGCACAGCTGCAACCAACGTGTCACATGTTCACAGAAATGTGCTTCAATTGGAACGTGTTTGGCTGTCAAAACAAGAATTGACAAGTATAGACAAGTTATTTTCAGGTGCTGCAACTGCAATTCTTATGTCAAATTGTCCCAGATTCTTCTGCTAGCACCAAGCAATCATAGGAATAAAATCAAACTCGCTGGTTCTTACCCACGCCATTTGCACAGGGGCCTTATCTGGAATGATGTTCATTGCCCCCAGCTCACGGCTTCCCCAATGGAGTTCTCATGGCTGCTGGTCCATGTTTCTGTGTGGGGCGAGAAAAAATCTTGGGAGCTGGTCACCGACATGTCAAAGTAAAGGAAGCTGGAGTAAGATTCACAATCAACAATCGAGCCACAATGGCAAAGTGATGTATTGCCGGTTTAATGGTGTAGAATTCAAACACATCCCCCAAACAGGCTGGACAGTCGGCCACCGTCGGCCGAGCGTGCCCTTGCCCCGGTGATGGAGGCCCGAGAATGCCCCCTGAAACACCCAAGACCGGTGAAAAACACCGCTGCGACGTGGAGCGCCCCCGGTCTCCGGTGCCATAAACGTTTGGCCGTCCAAACGAAGGCGAACGGCGTGACGCCCCAGCACGTGCAACTCGCCCAGCGCATCCGCCTTCGAGAGTTGCCCCACTGTCACTTCGCGGCCATTGAGCTTCTTCAAGACCTCACAAACCCCACCTCAGGCACCGCTGTGGCGAGTGATAGGGCCCATCGATATACATGAGGCGAATGAGAGGGGCCATCGTCTTGAGCTGATTCGTCTTGGGGTATTTGGAGCTTAAGAGAGAGATTCAGCAAGCAAGCTCTGCTCTGTTCCCACCTGACCTCGACCACATGATCGCTATCTGTGCTTCAGGCTATTACACAAAGACACAAAAAGCTACAAAATGTGCGTGGTTGTGTAAACTTGGACCGGCATTCGCCACAAATTTGCTGTTCTTAAGGGAGCCACGTTCGATGATGTACAACTTGTCTCCCACCTCCCGGGCAATGCGAAGCTCAATGCGAAGCTCATGCGAAGCTCATGAAGTCTGGGCGAGTCTGGGTGATGTTCAACTAATGACAGAGCTTTGAGCCTATATGGGATGGCCCTGAATCGCTCAAAGGTGTTCAAAGGCACATGGTTCACCGAACACTGCAGCATTCCCCTCTCTGACAGTCGATGTGGACGGCCCTTCACGACAAAATGCCCAGATCCAACTTAATTAGGTCTCACTTGAGCCACTCTAAAAACCTGGAGTCACTCCCTATGTCGTATCACTTTCCTTGCGCGAGGCCTTACGCGCTGCTTACGCGGCCCTCACTTTTGCTTACGCAAAGCAAACTTCCGAAATGCTTACGCGAAATGCTTACGCAATCTTACGCAACCCAGGGTTTTGCTTACGCAGAATTCGATATGACAAAGTCCTTACTTAAGATGTAAAGGCAGGTTTTTAGAGCGGCTCACTTGGCCTTCATTCACATAGGACCTCCTTGCAACCATTGTACAGCTCAAACATCGTCTGCTCACGGATCAAAAAGGGCACAACCATGCACAACCCACAATTCAGCGGCGGAAAGTGAGTCAGTGGGTGAAATATATAACAGGAAATTTACAATAGAGCCTGTAACACTGTAACATCCTAACCAGCACCCCTTCCAATCACCAGCTCCAGCACCAAAGAACCCATAAAAAAAATCCACGGAACCCACCGGACGATGATCCGCACGATTCGCGATCCGCGATCCCGTCGTGCGATGCCTCGCCCTCTTTGATGATGTATTGACCTCGCTCAAAGGTTTCCGCCTTCAGGAAGCTCACCAACCTCACGGAAGGTTCACCGTGAGGAGCGACTGCTTGAAGATCAAACGAGCAGTCGTGCTACTTCATGGGGCTGGTGTTTGGAAAGGCCACGTGGTTCAAGTAAAGAAGGCAAATGTTCCTTTGCAAATCGGTCCGTTCCAATGTCATGAAGGCATGACATGTTCTTTTATTCACAAGATTCAAGAAGCTCAAAGTAACAGAAAACAACAAGATTGCATGATTTTTCTTCAACTTTCAAGCTTCCTCTTGCAGATTCATTGAACATGTCGTCTCAGTTTCCAGAGTTGGACCAAACTCGCCGAGCCGCAGTATTGCAGGAAAAGGAAACGACGAATGCAGTTTGGACGTGGTAACATCATGGAACCGCCAAACAAAACCCATGACAACCCAAGTGCCTGTCTGCATCTCTTCGGCACCCAAAAACGCTCTGGCACTCCTTTTGTACGAATCACTGTCGTCACACGTGAATGGCCGTCATTGCCTTCGGCAAAGGTCGGCCGCTGGGCCCACAAATCATCGCATCACTGTCCGATCGTGGCCATTGGACTTACCAATTTTGGCCTAAAAAATCCGACTAGCTCGTGGTAGGCTGAGTGACGTGTTGTCAGGTGATCTGTGGACCGAGTGCCCTTCTGCGATTTTGGCGACCCGTGCGCTGAACAAATGCAGGCTGACAACAACACTTTGTTTGGTGAACAAATGCAAGAACGGGATTCAAACAAGGTCACTGCGTATGACTTTGCTGTGCAAAACAACAAATACAACGTAGCACAACGCAGGCTCTTGCAATTGCTTCACTGTCCGCAGCACAAATGACAGCAAACTTGGAATATAACAGAACCACTCTATATTTTGCCCCGCCTGCAACATCCCTGCAGCAACACAGGGTGAAACCAACACATGGCTCATGGTGCCGGTAGGGGTGGTGGTTTCGACACCTTCGTGATTTTCTTGTCATGTGCCAATGTGGCAACATGTCCCGATTCCATAGTGACACGTACCCGATTCCACAATGAGGGTATGGTGTGGTATTTCCCACATGAGCCGATCATGAGTTCGCACTCCTCACGGGACTCTTCATGGCCTCTCCAGGCACAAAGAGATATTCGGAAAAGATGTCTTTGCATGTCTTTGCGAGACCATCCAAGAGTGATGTACGAACCCCCAACGCAACTGCGTAGGGAAATCCAGTACCTCGCCCGCTGATTTGGGGGGGTCCCCGATTCGGTTTGACAAGCCTGGGAAGGGAGGGGACGAAAGCCACTGGTCGCCAGCCCTTTTTGAGCGCATGGAGAGCTGTGGGTGAGGCCATCTGTGCCAGCGCGGCGTGGCAAACTGCTTGCAATGAGCGAACATAGTCTTTCAACGTATTTTCTTTGCATCTGCTTGGGGAGACCCAGAAGATAACGCTCCTTTGCTGGTGCCCTTTTATTATCTTCACAAAAACTTGACAAAACAATCAAAAAGGGCACCACCACACATGGCCTCTTCGTTGAGCCCGTTGGTCACAGTGCATTCCAGCCCACCCTCTCTTGGACCGCTTAGATGGTGTTCTACGCGTTTCCTGCTTCTATATCTTCTATATAGGGAAAAACATGCCTGCTTGTCTTTACAGCTCAGCAAGCGTGGTGTTTCGACGGTCCTTTGCTGATACCACATATTGTCTGCTGGGCTGTGGTCTTTATAGCGGTGACACGCCTGCTTGCAGGTTTCTGTCATTACAGCTGAGCAAAAATCGTCTTTCGACATCTTAAAGGCACGTGCCTACATCGTTCCACACACACAACTGGACGTCCTGCTGTCCACTTGAATGGTGTCATGGCCACTTGGTGATGCAAAAGATGCCCTATCGAACCTTTTTGACATCACTCGCATCACCAAGGCCCTTATAGGGGTGCATTTTGGACCATCCCTTTTGTTTGCTCTCTCCAGCAGGCTCTGGGTTCACCCCTCCCGAAAGGGCCCACTACGCCACTCCCACACCCCGTAGGACTCACTTCGTTTGCCATCAAGCGCTTCAGCCTAGCCTGTCGGCTGGCTTTCGATCTACACAATAACTAATAACATCTATAGAATAAGCTTGACCAATCAATTCGTATTCCTGTTGACTTCCCGCTTCCATGCATGGCCAGCACCTCATCTTCGCCAGCATTACCCATGAATCTTCGAATCCTCAAGCATCGCTCGCGCGCATTTCGAAGAGGATCCCTATGTCAACAGATATGGCTGCAAAACCAGCACACCATTCTTGTGGCTTCTTCCTGCTTGAAAGAAAAGAACTCGGGCCATTTTCTGAACCTGAAACCGCTACATCCAATCTCATCTACTTCCACACCACCCATTCTTGCTCACTCTGAACTTCACTGTTCCCCCGTCAGGAATCCACAAATTAATTGAGATATCCCCAATTCAGATTCAGCAGTGATTCAGCACAAACATCCTACAGTAGAGATCCTGAGCTAATCATGACTTTATCATGAGCTGTGTTCGGAACCCTTCGGCCAAGCGGCGATTCGCTCAAACAAGCGGACGTCCTTCACTCGCAGCTCCTGAGCTGGAATCAAGGCCAAAGCGCAGCAAAAAGGGTCTCGAAATCGGTCTGTTTCGATCCAAAGGAACAGCAAGACAGTTCGAGGGATCCAAAGGCACAAACGTTTCTGTGCATAGGTGATGCCAGGGATGCCTCAACGTGCACGTGAAGCAGCCCCCTGTAAGCTCCGTCGTTTTCCAACATGCCCTGCCCCATCGATTTTTCCGCACCTAAGGCGGCCCTTGGATCCCCGAAAGCCGTGGCGATCTCGAGCACCAGCACCCAACTCACGCACGCGCTCTCGCGAACGCGTCCGTGACGCGTCCGTCCGCGGCGCGTCCGGACTGCGTGGGAAGGACGCCTGCGTCAAGAGGACGTGGATGAAGTCGGGGGGATCGCTGTCATTAATTTGACCTCGGGTGACATGAAGTGGTTCTGCTCAAAATAGAGGCTCGAGGGCTCCTTTTGTTTTCGAGGGCTCTTTTTCTTTTTCCAGAAGTATCACAACGATCCATCATGCCATGTTTGTTCAACAAAAGGTCTCTTCCATGCTAGTTCTTTTAGGCGCATTCAGTTTCCTTTCCGGCTAGTTGTGCCAGAGTGGACACATGTTTGGGCATGTATCAGAATAAGACCCCCAAAGGCCCCCTAATTAGGAAGACTGAAGGTCGTCATCGGTTGGGGGGTCTATCAAAATACAAACCCACCCGGCGTCATTTGAATTGATCAACTTTCCCTGCAAGCCTGCCGCGTACATTGGTGCACACTGTACTGTTTTTGCGTCCTTTTTGAAAACGTCACCGTTCAAATACAGTAGTTTGACGGTCAGGAATGTTGAACATATAATAGTAAGCAGTAAGCAGCATGTTCCGTGAGAGTGGAGGTACGAGTAGTTCCCACAGGGGCGGACAAAAAGTGCGATCGCCATGTACGCAACCACCGCGATGACGTTGAGGTCCGGTGGTGTTGCATGCCATCACAGCATGGCTATGGGCAAGACCATCGGGGGATGTGTCACAAGAAACAACTAACATGCAAAGGCATAAATAAAGATATTAAAATATTGTATATACAAAAGCAGAATGGCCAAGAGGCCAGTAGATTCTACTGTCCCTGCAAACTGGCTCCACTCATGCCTCCAAGCAGCATTTCACCCAGAACTCTGTGTCTTTCGGACCACTGGAGTACTTGTATCTCTTGGCCTTAGATTGCAGCTGCGCTCAGTACTCTGTTGTTTGTCCTGGAAGCGTGCTCCCTGTGGAAGACATGTCATTCTTTTTGGGGCAAAACACAATGCAACGGTAAAACTACAGGACCCTAAATGATGAATTATCATACAATTGTATGCTTTATGCCATCCTTCACATCCTTCACATTGGCACTTACCCTCCGCTCTCTCTCTCTCTCACACACATATATCATATACCGTCACATTGATTTAAACAAGTGTGGTTGGAGGCCAGTGCTATTATTAGGTTGTACCAGTAGTTTACAAGCGTCTTAGAGGCAACAGCTTGGTGACAACCTTTTTATGGGCTTGGAGGCCATTGCTATAACGTTGGAGGTCATCGCTAGTAGGTTGGAGGCCATCGCTAGTAGGTTGGAGGCCATCGCTTCTAGGTTTGAGGCCTTTAAGAGGCTTGAAGATCATGCAAATACACCAAATAGACAGAAAAAGTCGATCCCCTTTAAGCACGAATTGAACATTGCATCTATCTTGAGGACCATGGCCCATGAGCCATGACACTCATCCTCCAAGCTGCAATCAGCTTCTCCATCCGGATTTCAGCTCTGGCGGCGTAGGCCTTGGCCTCTACTTGTGCTCGAACCTTATCCCGAACCTTCTGGTTGCTGCAAATGTCCTGCACAGGACATTCCCACCTACTACGAGTTGAGGAGTGACTTTAAAGCAACTACTATGATTTTCGTCTGAGTCTATGGATTAGACTTCTTTTCAAGCTCCGCAAGTCCATCGATACTGTCAGCTCTGTATGGAAGCCAAACAAGATAGAACCACGCTCTCTATGGTTAGACAGACATGTTTACAGGGAAAACCAAAAATTGGAACCGTCACGCTGAAACCCCCCCAACCGCGGGGCGTTTCTGAGCTCCGCGCGGATTGATCGACGCACGCGTCGTTTCGCCGCCGGTCGACCGCCCGTCTCCTGGACGACCCGATTGGCTTCGCTTTCGCCCTCGAAGGTCACCAGCCGTGGCGGCGCTGCTTCGGCCTCGTCGGTGAGCATCGGGTCACCTGAGTGACGATGGCGGAAGGCGAGAAAGCAAAAGGAAGGTGACATGCGGAGACCATGCAGAATGGAATGGCACTGATGAAAGGGCGAAGTTCCCATCTTGCAAAAGGAAAACACATGAAAACCATTGAACACCAACCTCAGGAATTCTTGGCCCTTCTTGGTGCTGTGGGGACACTCCCCCCCTCGGATCCCTTGAATCGGATCCCCAAGCTTCCTTACCTGATCAGGGAGGTGCCGAAGCTGGAGATGGCCATGCTTGGACCAATGGCTGCGGGCGGTTGGAAAGGCCAGGTGTTTGGACCATGCGGTGGTCGGTTGGTGGCCTTTCCCCCAAGTCCACACATTCCGCACACCATGCAGCAATGCAAAAGTGTGGTGCTGCAACATCCGAAAACAAACACATATGTTCACAAGCTATACTCCCTTGTGCCGGTGATATCTACGTCTACATTCGGTTGGAAGCCGCCCCTATGGCTACAAGTTGGGCATAAGAACATCGCAAGGATTCATGGCGTGATCTCAAAATGACTACAGGACTTCAGCGAAACTGTTGAAGGGGTCGGGGATCCCTGGCTTTATCTTCATTTTTTCATAAATGTGGATGTCTTTCTCCGGCCTATTCCTCCGCATGTTTGAGGAGTGTGATGGTCCATTATTCCATCTTCGGGTCCTGCATTCGTTTCTTCAAGAAGACAGAACTCGTTTTGACCAAGGGCCTCCGGCCAAACGTAGCCAAACACCCTAATTCTGTCGCCACAAAGACTCTTGGCTGGAGCCTCGAGCACGGTCGAGCCTCGGCGCTTCACCAAACCGAGCGCCGGTGTGTCCGGGCCATCGAGCCGAAATTGGGTTTTGGCATCCAAAACCTCGTTGGAGAGCAAGGGCACCTGAGAAGCGCCGGCACGGGTGAAAAACGCAGGCGTTTCCAGGCATCGGACCAAAAAGGAGAAGTCGGTGTCATCGAAACCCGTCGCGATCAAAACAATCGCAGCGGGCAAACCCCTCACAATGTGGGTGTGGCTTCAAGAAACAAGGAGATGTGTGCATCGCCTTAGATGGTGTAGTTCTGACATGTTCTGACGACAGTTCCATGAGGTCCATGACAGGAGAATGAACAAGTCGAGCATTCCATGGCCGTTCCCATAGACCCAACAGAACAACTCATTTTCGGCAATGGGGACCTGTGTGGGAGATTGCCAAGAGACAACCCAAAGTAAACATGCACCCAGTGTCTGACCTTGCAGTCGACATCACCGCACACCCAATCAAAGGCAGCCCAATCTGCCCACCCATCACTGTCACTGCCCATCACCCTGAGCTCATTAATAATATGGAGCAAAGGATGTTTAATCATATATATAATGTATATATATATATAAGTAAGCTTTATGTCAGAATCCAAGTGCCCATCATCCTACCAGCCCATCATCCTACTGTCCATCATCCTGCCAGCTACTGTCAGAATCCAGATCTTTCATGTTCTTTCTGTCTCGGAGATGGAGGCCTCTCTACCCTTCCAGCCTTGGCGAGGAATTGCCCGCGAAACTCCTGGAGACGGTGAGGAAGATCCGCTGAACAAGTGGCAGACGTCTCAACCTAGGAGACCTCTCTGATGAGGTTTTCGAGGTCAAGGAACGCAAACTGAGGATGAGCATCAACCGTAGGCCCTAGATGGCCCGTTCGGTCGCTTCGCTGCGGAATCCCCATGAACGCTTGATGCAATGGAGCTTTGCAGCATGTTCAAAAGCCAACTGTTTCTCCGTCGTTCTTCTCTTCGTTTGACCAAACCAATTTCCATCCGCCATGGTGAAGTTGCCGATGAAACCTCAGAATTCTGTGGGTACTTTGAAGAGTGCATGGATCATTCTCCTCTGCCTAGCCCGATCACTCACCCGATCAATCCATCAATCTCCTGGTGCATGTAGGCCATGAGGTCCTGCATTCCTGAGCACCAGTTAAGCAGCAAAAATCTCGCGGCCGAGGTGAACAACGAAGTATGTGGCAAAGGTCAACATATTCCGCTCAGAATTCCCAAAGTAAGAACCTTTGTTTTCAGAATCCGGGAATCTTCCTCGTAGAAGGTCTACTTCAAGGTTTTTCAAGGAGATCGTGCTAACCAATCCTTCTGGGCGAAGTCTGTCATGGAGGAATACAGGGTTGAAGTTGAAGCAAGAACGAGAACAGGACTTCCCTGTTTTCTTCGCAGAATCATGGGCAGCTGTTCTGCGCTGTCTAGTCAAAACCAGGTCAAATCAGCAATGTGGCCCTGGTCCTTGGTCCAAGTTCTTCTATTTCACCCCTCTTTGCCGATCAAGTCGCGCTGGCCGTTGGCCTTCAACAACTGAGAATGGCTGCTATGCCTAGAGGCGTCCATCTGGGGGTGCTGTCCATGAGCGGAGAAACATCCTGCAGGATTGTATTGTAGGTGAAACCAATCCACAACCAACGAAACTACGTCAGCACCCCAGAAAACCATTTGGAGCAACTACAATACAATCACAACAACAGGACCGTTGAAGGCAAGGGCTTTTGGATCATGTACTGTAAGTCTTGGCGTAATTCTGGGGAAGTCACAGAGGTTGGCCATCATGCCCCGGATCCAAGTCCCTCCAACAGTTCATTTCACTGAAACTTCTAACAGTTCTTGTGTCATCATCAAATAATTAGTGCATAAACTTCCACAATATAGTTGCAACTTATGGCAATTCCTTGCAACCAATCGATGGTCCTACAGTGACGGCCGTGGGTTGGTTTACAGTAAATGATGGTGCAAAGCGTAAGCCCTCAGTCTTCCCGTCATTCGTTTTATTGCAAATGGACCTCAATAAGGAGCATCAGCTTTCAGATATGTGATATGTTCATATATTCCTTGCTGCAACAATTTACATAAGAAGCTTGGGAGCAATCAAACATCCCACTGCAGGTGCTGACGTCAGTTGGAAAGCTCACCTACCCCAGGCAATCAGGTGCTCAATTCCACTTCGCCAAGGCTTCATGGTCATTTCCATCCATGTCCTGCCTGACTTGGTCAGAGAGGATGCGCTCTTGCACCGTTTGCAGCGTTCTTTCCCAGGGCTTGCACCTGCCATGGCGTTCTTGAGCTCGGCCATCGTACGGACGAGGGAGCATGCGAACGGCGGTGGGTGAAGGAGTGGTATTGAGGAGTACGGCCTGGACCGTTCGCAGGGTTCGTTCTGTGCAGTGCTTCGGACCCACAAAAGGTTGGACCCCTCTTGTTTAGAATCTAAGTGCACATACAAACTTGTTCAAGCAAGGGGATTCGAGTTTCCGCTTCATCTCAAGCTAGAATCACTCTCTTGATGCTGCCACCTCTTCATGTGCTTCACCCATGCTTTACCAACCGTGCTCACCCCTCAAAAGACCTCGCAAGATTTGCTCCAAACGTAATGACACAAAGTCACAAAGGAATAGTCGATGCTTTTTAAACGCAAAGGTCCGGATACACAAAACCAAAAACCCATGTAGAAAGAGGATCAGAGGGAATTTGATGGGCGAACACCAGCCCCACCTTACAAGACATGTTGGCCCCAAAAAAGAACTCCAGAAGCTGAAGCTACGTTTCGTGAAATTCCTGTGAATCCAGTGGATAAGATGATCGCCCTCATCCCCTTGCTAACGCAACTTCAGCCCTGAATTCAACTACCCCCCTCCCCAAGCCAGACCAGCAGCATATGCTTTGGGTATGGCCATTGGTCATCGTTCGCCAATCAGCGGTCCCGTACCGCGGAGCTCCAGCTCTCCCGGCAACTAGCCCAGCTCGCTCGGGTAAGTTCACGCTCAATGTCGAGGTCCACTGTTTCTTCTCGAGGGCCTTGACCTCGGAGGGTCCACTGGCAAGCTGGCGCAAAGGATGGAGGACCGGGGGGGTCCCCGGTTGCTTGGATGCACATGGAGTGCCCAAGCTGCTCAGGAGTGATGCTAGTCCCAAAGGTTCTAAGGCCCAGCACATCCCAGCACTTAGATCCATTTAAACTGTGTCAGCCTGGAGCATTAAGATCCTGACCCCGAGGTCCAAGGACATGGCTGTGGGTGCTTTGGCCTCGACTTGATTCGAGAGGAGCCACAGAAAACGAAGAGCATAATAAGGATCTGAACCAACCCAGGCCTCATCAACCAATGGAGGAAGGACCAATGCATTGCTTTGTCTCTCCTGGCGGCTCTCCATTTCCAAAAGCAGCTTTTCAGCTGGATCTTCCAATGAAACAAAATGATCGACCAGCCAGCGTGAGCCTTTTTTTGCACCAGTTTGCCACGAGGGCAGGCAATGCCCTCCAACAAAAAATATCTGGCCTCTTCAGCCTTGGCTTCTCTACTAGGCAGCCTGGCTCAGGGCAGTCTGGCTATCGAGATGGTAAACAGAGTCAAGGAGTCAAGCCCCCCAAAATGGGCAGCAATGAACATCAATGATATATCTTTAAGTGACTTTAAGAGCAACCATTGAGTGGTGCAGAAAATACACACAGGATCACACAGGTCACTTCAGTCCTTCTTTGGCCATTCCAGCATATGCTTTCCCCTCTGATTGGATTAAAATTGACCGTCAATCATGATCCCTGATTCATCCGTTATTGAATAGATGACTACACTCAAGCATGGGCCGTGTGGACCTTAATTCAGAATGCAACAGGATAAGACAGTTTTTGAGCCTGCGGATCAAACATGCACGAAGACAACACCCCAAAATGAACAGGGGATTTGGATGGATTTGGGTGTTTCTCAAAACACGGGACCCTCACCAAACCATATGAATATATAACATTATATAACCCCTACTTTGAGAACCACCCCATTTCTCTGCATTGTAAAGGACTTTTTCTGCTCCACTAAGAAGGACCCGAGCCGGACTGGACACGCGTTGTCATCCGACTTCGCAAGGAACCGGTGAAACGGCCTTTGTTTCGGGCGGTTTGGTACAGCCTCTTCCCGAAGCATGGTAGTCCTGGTAGCATAAAACTCAGTCACTCCATCTACTTCAAACGCCACGGCCCATGGTCATCGTTCGCATCTACTTCAACCACCGCGCGTTCGGACCGGAAGAAATCAAGGACCGGAACACCCACACGATCGAGAACTTCACTCCTGACCCGGTGGCATCGACACAAGACGCACCGCCATGGACCGCGGACCCTCGACCGTTCGAACAAGCACCACGAGCCGAGCCTAGCGCTCATAGGTTCTTTGGACCTTGGCAGTCCGGGAATCCTGCAACCCTTTGCTCCTGCTTGAAAAAGGCTTCGAAAACGGACACT